TCAGACATACAAGACTAATGGCTCTCCCACTCCCTGCCTTCTTAGCCCAACACTAGCTCCACCCTACAGCTGTTGCGGTGACCGTATTACCGCCACAGCGTGGTCACGAGTCATGAAGGCAGTCAAATTCCACGTGACCGCTTAGTCACGCTAATTAGGCTTCTCCAAGCACTGATGCTGCTGCTGGTCATTAGTAGCCTACCATACTTGATAACTGCCTGGTACTCAGGAATATTGTCCCTCTAATCAATCTGACATCAATGCAAATGTGTTCGAAAATCTAATCAAACACTTCATGAGAGCCCATAAGCTGATGTTGAGCAACATTTCTATAGGCTATGCAATTGCGGGAGAAAACATAGTGATGGCCTCTATTAAAAAGAGGAGGATCCCATCAACTTTCTATAGGCCTACTATATTTATTTCTCAACTTACCTAATATTAAGCACATTGCTTATATTTACAACAGGAGTATAGCCTACCTGGCTGGCATGAAAATAAACCACGGGGAAACGCGTCCTCCATTCGCTATTTAAGTGCATAGATGACATGTATTTTTTCCCGCTGCCCGTTTCGATACAGGTGCATGATAATGGTCCATTCTAAATCAAAACAAATTTCACATACATACACACACACACACATATATACAGTGGGGAGAACAAGTATTTGATACACTGCCGATTTTGCAGGTTTTCCTACTTACAAACCATGTAGAGGTCTGTAATCTTTATCATAGGTACACTTCAACTATGAGAGACGGAATCTAAAACAAAAAATCCAGAAAATCACATTGTATGATTTTTAAGTAAATCATTTGCATTTTATTGCATGACATAAGTATTTGATACATCAGAAAAGCAGAACTTAATATTTGGTACAGAAACTTTTGTTTGCAATTACAGAGATCATACGTTTCCTGTAGGTCTTGACCAGGTTTGCGCACACTGCAGCAGGGATTTTGGCCCACTCCTCCATACAGACCTTCTCCAGATCCTTCAGGTTTCGGGGCTGTCGCTGGGCAATATGGACTTTCAGCTCCCTCCAAAGATTTTCTATTGGGTTCAGGTCTGGAGACTGGCTAGGCCACTCCAGGACCTTGAGATGCTTCTTACGGAGCCACTCCTTAGTTGCCCTGGCTGTGTGTTTCGGGTCGTTGTCATGCTGGAAGACCCAGCCACGACCCATCTTCAATGCTCTTAATGAGGGAAGGAGGTTGTTGGCCAAGATCTCGCGATACATGGCCCCATCCATCCTCCCCTCAATATGGTGCAGTCGTCCTGTCCCCTTTTGCAGAAAAGCATCCCCAAAGAATGATGTTTCCACCTCCATGCTTCATGGTTGGGATGGTGTTCTTGGGGTTGTACTCATCCTTCTTCTTCCTCCAAACACGGCGAGTGGACTTTAGACCAAAAAGCTCTATTTTTGTCTCATCAGACCACATGACCTTCTCCCATTCCTCTGCTGGATCATCCAGATGGTCATTGGCAAACTTCAGACGGGCCTGGACATGCGCTGGCATGAGCAGGGGGACCTTGCGTGCGCTGCAGGATTTTAATCCATGACGGCGTAGTGTGTTACTAATGGTTTTCTTTGAGACTGTGGTCCCAGCTCTCTTCAGGTCATTGACCATGTCCTGCCGTGTAGTTCTGGGCTGATCCCTCACCTTCCTCATGATCATTGATGCCCCACGAGGTGAGATCTTGCATGGAGCCCCAGACCGAGGGTGATTGAATGTCATCTTGAACTTCTTCCATTTTCTAATAATTGCACCAACAGTTGTTGCCTTCTCACCAAGCTGCTTGCCTATTGTCCTGTAGCCCATCCCAGCCTTGTGCAGGTCTACAATTTTATCCCTGATGTCCATACACAGCTCTCTGGTCTTGGCCATTGTGGAGAGGTTGGAGTCTGTTTGATTAAGTGTGTGGACAGGTGTCTTTTATACAGGTAACGAGTTCAAACAGGTGCACTTAATACAGGTAATGAGTGGAGAACAGGAGGGCTTCTTAACGAAAAACTAACAGGTCTGTGAGAGCCGGAATTCTTACTGGTTGGTAGGTGATCAAATACTTATGTCATGCAATAAAATGCAAATTAATTGCTTAAAAATCATACAATGTGATTTTCTGGATTTTTGTTTTAGATTCCGTCTCTCACAGTATGATAAAAATTACAGACCTCTACATGCTTTGTAAGTAGGAAAACCTGCAAAATCGGCAGTGTATCAAATACTTGTTCTCCCCACTGTATGTATGTATGTGTGTATATATATATATATATACACATACACTACCGTTCAAAAGTTTAAAATAACATCAAATTGATCAGAAATACAGTGTAGACATTGTTAATGTTGTAAATGGCTATTGTAGCTGGAAACGGCTGATTTTTTATGGAATATCTACATAGGCGTACAGAGGCCCATTATCAGCAACCATCAGTCCTGTGTTCCAATGGCACATTGTGTTTGCTAATCCAAGTTTATCATTTTTAAAGGCTAATTGATCATTAGAAAACCCTTTTGCAATTATGTTAGCACAGCTGAAAACTGTTGTGCTGATTTAAAGAAGCATTAAAGCTGGCCTTCTTGAAACTAGTTGAGTATCTGGAGCATCAGCAATTGTGGGTTCGATTACAGGCTCAAAATGGCCAGAAACAAATAACGTGCACCGGGGCCTCCCACTCCTCTTTCTATTCTGGTTAGAGGCAGTTTGCCTTGTTCTGTGAAGGGAGTAGTACACAGCGTTGTACGAGATCTTCAGTTTCTTGGCAATTTCTCGCATGGATTAGCCTACATTTCTCAGAACAAGAATATACTGACAAGTTTCAGAAGAAAGTTATTTGTTTCTGGCCATTTTGAGCCTGTAATCGAACTCACAATTGCTGATGCTCTACATACTCAACTAGTCTCAAGAAGGCCAGGTTTATTGCTTCTTTAATCAGCACAACAGTTTTCAGCTGTGCTAACGTAAATGCAAAATGGTTTTCTAATGATCAATTAGCCTTTTAAAATAATAAACTTGGATTAGCAAACACAACGTGCCATTGGAACACAGAACTGCTGGTTGCTGATAATGGGCCTCTGTACGCCTATGTAGATATTCCATTAAAAAGTATTATTATTATCACTTGTGAATGATGCCCAGCATAAGAAACAATGGCTTTTTTTTGCGACTTGTTCGAGTCATAGTCGCACACCTCATGTAGCCTAGTCTATAGGCCTATATATTTTAATAAGGTTTGAATCACAACTAAAGTGGCCAAATATCTTCTTAAAATTAAGCATATTCATCTGCTTTACAAGGGGTGTAGAGCCTAACTGGCATATATAAGCGCCACATGAGTTTCAAGTTTAGGGAAGATAATTTACACCATAAAAATGCACCTTTATAATAAAAGCATTACATGCATATTTGCATTTGCGGTCACTTTTGATAATGGTGTTTTCCCGCTAATGGAACATTGCCGCTTATAGCCTAATGCCATGTAAGCATTGCTGCACTTGTAATGTGAAGAAATAGCCTAATAGTTTATCAACATTTTAAGCTAAAGGTTCTAACCTGTTGCGTCAGCCACATTGCATTAAAAAAAAATTGGGATGCTAGTGGTTGTATTAGTTTGGGATCTATCGCGTCCCACAACTGTCCCAGACTATGTTTGGAATATTTATTTATTGCACAGCATAGAATATGTCAACTTTTGTACTATGGGGGATAGTGGATTGACATAGGCTAGTATTTTGTTGTTCGTTAGGCCTACTCATCTTGTTGGCTGACGAAAGTAATAATAATAATAATAAATGTAAATGTGGACAGTTCTTCCAACATCTTCAATATGCACCTTGGAATTGGATAAGGACGCGCACATTTGCGTCCCCGGTGTGTCTTAACTTGTAGCCTGTGAGAAAGACCCGATCAAGTGACGGAGAGCCGTGTGAGTGAGAGACGTTTTGGATTGCGCAGCACACTCTAGGAGAAGGGCACAACGCAGCACTCCGGGCCGCAAAAGGCATGGATTATTTTAGGATGCATTACGGCCACAAAGGGGATGCCGCTGTGAAATTCGAGGCATAATGAAGTGCTTGTCAAATTGTGAATGTGAGACTATTGGAGTGTGTACAGCAAAAAACTAAGCAGAGCTCATGCCTTTCAAGCGACTTTTTTCAAATCATCATTAGTCTCATTATGCAGCCTTACAATGTATTACAAATCAAAACATATAGCCCAATGTTTATAGCCCTTAACTTTAAATTTAGCATAGAGGAGTACCTATTTATTTGTTAACCGCTCTACATAGAATTGCTGCATGTGCGCACTCCCTCAAATAATTTGGAGAAAATATGTATATTTTATTCATCTTTGTTTGATTATATTCTTCATACTATAAAATAATTCCACGAATTATAATCAAATCTTGTCTGCTAAATGAACTAGTGTAGCCCACAGCCATTTGGCATAGCCACATCAGGACCTAAAATAAGGACAACTCAGAGTATGCTATTCTGTTCTTCTGAAATAGACTACATTTTCTTCATATCATGCTTCTTTAGACCTGTCTAAAATAAATAATGCATTTATTGTGAAGGTGTAGGCTATATTACATGGATTTATTAGACTTTTTAAAATGGCTTGTGTTTATGTTAATTAACGGTCAATTACCGTGAGACCGACAGTTATTTGCTTGACAATCAACGGCTGACGAAATATCATGACCGCCACAACCCTACTCCACCCTAATGCTAAAATCAAACTGTTAATTAGTCCATTAAAGCTCCCATTTCATCACATTAAACTTAATTAGAATGACGCTTTCCAAGCTGTAGTTGATACAGCCAGACCAGTTTGTTTGGCTGGGATGATTTTAAAAAAGGCTTGAAAATAGATCGTTATCTGTGTGTGTGTGTGTGTGTGCTTTCCCTTTCTCTAAGATTTTAATTTATAAAGGGTACATCTCTGGTTCTTACCACATTGTGACGGATTGATTTGGTGTGTGTTTAACAGGTACCAGCCACAGTGTGTCAGTGTCTGAGATCCTAGCAGTCAGGGAGCTCGATGTGGACAGCAAGACGAAAGATGACGGCAGGTGGCAGAAAATGCCTCAGAAATCGACTGAGGCCTATCCATATGCATTCACAGGTAAGAATGTTGACGATCTTGAGCAATCTACCGATATTAGATTCAATATGGTAGATGATACTGCAAAGTAAATCTATATTCTGTTAAGCCTCTCTCCCGTCACTCCCTTTGTGTCCCCCTGCCACAGTGTCCTATGTGGAGAGAGCCTGGCAGCACCGCTGGCGGTGTAGTGACGTCACCTTCCACTGTCTAGAGGGGGCACTGTGTCAGCAGTGGGTCCAGACCATCAGAGGGCAGCTCGCAGCACTGAGTATGGCTGAGTATTACTGACTCTGTATTCAGTGTACACTGTTACGTTCACTGAATATGCTTTGTGAAGTCTAGTTGCAAGGCTAACTCAGAAATGAGTATGGGCCTCAGTCTGTACTGTTACTCAGCCTGCAGCCTACATTTACCATGTCACATGCCCTTCTCTCTGGACAAACCAGTAACATCTTTCACTTTACTTTTTGTAGCCAGCAGACCCAAGCATTTGCTGGTGTACATCAACCCCTATGGGGGCAAGCAGCAAGGCAAGTGCATTTACGAGCAGAAAGTCGCCCCTCTCTTCACCTGTGCCTCCATCTCCACGGACGTGATTGGTGAGTTCCCACCAACAACATTAACCATGCTTTAATAAAAGATGAGTGTTTATGGGCCAAGTCACATTTCTCACTGTAGGCAAATGGGCACAAGCTCTCTCAGGCCGCACAGGATTATGACATCATTTACGGCCGCCATCCATCACCCCAGTTCCTTAATGGAAAGGCTGATGGTCGATGAATACTGGATTACTTTACATCCGTTTTACTTCTCAGACTGGAGAACCACTGTGGACATAGTAATTTCATAGTCACAAATTATGACCAATTGTATTTCCAACAGTATAGAAGCTTGGGTTGATATCAAGATATTGATAGTTGAGCAAGGTGGGTACGAAATCATGAAATCAAACTATTCCTTTAGCTACAAATTGTTATAATGGTTAGAGAAAGTAAATTGCTGCTTTGGGACTAGAATTCTTTAGGGAAAATGCTTAGTTGATATATTACTCCAAGCTAGTGAATGATTACTCCCATAGTCCAAAATATTGCAGATTATAGTGCAAATTAGAAAAACGTCAAGCGATATCATCTAGTCGATTGTAAACCTGTTCAATGTATTGATTGAAAATCATAACTTTTCAAGTGTATCCCATCTACAGGAAGCACTTGAAAGAAAAATGTAAATCATGCTGAGATATCTAACGCCTTCCTTGTTGTTGGTTGTCATAGTTACAGAGCATGCCAATCATGCCAGGGACCACCTGAGGACAGAGGCTGAGTTGAAGCAATATGATGGGTGAGTCATGGTTGGAGACATTTCCCAGCAAACCAAAATTGGTTCTGTGAATGTTCCCCAGATTATTCATTTGGTTGGCCCAAAAATTCTAATAACACAAAAACTGTCCAGTTGAGCTGATGATTATACAATGTTTGTATAAAAATATTCGCCTGATGTTGCAAGAACTTTCCCAGAAAACCTTTTGTTATTACGTTACCTAGAAACCTAATAAGAACATTAAGGGAATGTTCTGTGGTGGTTGTTGTTACATATGTTGTGCACATATTTAATTTAAAACATATTCTGGAAAAAATAAAAACAATATTTGAATGTTTTTGGGATGTTGTCATCCTAATGTTAAATTAAACCCTAACTAGAGATAATGTTCCCGGTTTGTTAGGTTCTCAATGTAATTGTCGCTATAGTAATCAAAAGTATATCTGGGAAGCCCCTCTTTGTAATCTGGTTTTCAGCCCAAACGTCACAAATTCAGAGTTGAACTAAAAACCACCCCAGGCCCAGTATATTCTTCCTCTCAAACAGCAAACAAAAACATTAGTGTTGTTGTTTTGACCTCTGTGTGCGACCTGACCTTTGACCTCAATGCAGAGTGGTGTGTGTGGGCGGGGACGGCATGTTCAGTGAGATAGTTCATGGCCTGGTCTCCCGGACCCAGAGGGACAACGGCGTGGACCAGAACAGCCCGGAGGAGAAGCTGGTACCCTGCACTCTGCGCATCGGCATTATACCCGCAGGTTAGAGCATACACACTCACACACATACCACTATTTTGACACAGCAATGATCAGGGCCAGCCCGCTCATTAGGCAGCGTTAGGTGGCCGCCAATGAGATTGACGAGGGCGGCATTTTCTGAGCTAAACTGACCAAGAAGCACCTACAACAACACATAAAACCTCACATAATTCTGCCCAAAAATGACAATTTCTCTCAACCAGTGGCATGTGGGCTTTTTAGGTGAGCGCTGATGCCGCCCTATGATAAGCAGTGCCCACTTTGTCAAAGGCAAGGACGCAAAATATTGATTTTGTCCATTCCCAGTGCGCTTCTCCAGGGTGCTGTTGGAGAGTCGCATTGCTGCGGCGCTCCACCAACATTCTGTCAAAAAAAGTATCTAACATAAATCATGTAGCAGATATAGCGTATGGTAGAAATAGTATGTGGCCTTTTCTGTAGCCTACAGGCTGGAGATAAAATGGGCCTACCACATGGATGGACATTGATAAAATTCCATTGGGGCCGACATGGTAGACAACACCCCAGTAAGCGCTGACCGACACCGACGTCTTTTTTTGGTTCTGTCTGGACCTGCTGTCTATTTTTTGGGTGTTTTACAAACTGTAGGCCTACCACATAGATGGGCATTCCTAAAATTAAATGTACGGCCAGGAATGGGCAACTCAAGTCCTCTGGGGCCTGATTGGTGTCACACTTTTGCCCCAGGTAACACAACTGACACCAATAATAAACTAATCATGAGCTTCAGTTTAGAATGCAATTAGTTTCATCAGCTGTGTTGACTAGGGATGGGCAAAGTGACACCACTCCGGCCCCCGAGGACTGGAGTTGCCCATCCCTGCTGTAGGCTATACCTCAGTAAGCACGGAACGATGCTGACATCTTTTGGACTTTTCTTTTGTTCATTCCCGACCGGCCTTGATTTCCACGTCCACTGACTTTTATTTTTGGTCCGTTCTGAACCATGATGAACCAATCATAGATGTTAATGTTTGGTTCAGATTTTAGCCGGTATGGACCAGCCTTGATTTGGCCTAAACATCTATAAATTACATCATTTCAACTTTCATTCAGAACCGAAAATGTACTTGATTTCAACATCTGGAAAATATGTATTTTCAACGCCCAGAAAATACCTATTTTCAACTTTCATTCAGAACCGAAAATGAACCTACCTTCAACGTCTGGAAGAATACGTCTTTTAGACGTCTTTTCAACGTCATTTTGCTTATTCTTGTAGGTGCAGCAATTTCATTTGTATCATCTAGGGCAGCAGAACGGCCAGGACCGGCCGTGGCAATGATCACATCATAAGCTATCAATAGCTGATGTTGACAAGTTGCCCCATCTTATCGTGTCACGGTTTATGACCTGACTGTGTCTGTTTACAAACGAATACTTCAACGATGAGGTCCATTTCATGTACACTACGGTATCTTATGTGTGTTGATTTCCACGTTCCACTTTTCTGTCTTGCTCTACGCACACACACTGCAGAGTTTTTTTCTGTGTAGTCAGAAACATAAGGTACCATTGTTTCTGTGTGTGTTATCCAGGTTCGACGGACTGCATCTGCTATGCAACTGTAGGCATCAATGATCCTGTGACCTCAGCCTTACACATCATAGTGGGTGAGTGCAGTTAACCATATTGAAATATTGGCAGCACTTCCCATTAAAATGCCTTTAAAAGTGACTCTAAAGGAAGTGTAACTGAAATTATACTGCACCGATAAGTAGCGTAAGCCACCTTTATCACTGTTCCAGGTAATTCCCCAGGACTCTATTGTGCATAGAAATGTGTGTCACGTTTGTTACTTCTATGCTAACCCTACCACACACTCAGCTGATAAGAGGAAACTGCTGGAGGTGTGTGTATGAGTGGGCATGTATGTGAGTTAATAATATAATATAATATGCCATTTAGCAGACGCTTTTATCCAAAGCGACTTACAGTCATGTGCGCATACATTTTTACGTATGGGTGGTCCCGGGGATCGAACCCACTACCCTGGCGTTACAAGCGCCATGCTCTACCAATTGAGCTACAGAGTTTGAGCGCATGTGGGTGGGTGTGTTCAAGCACTGGTGTGTATCAGTAGAGGCTGGTGGGAGGAGCTATAGGAGGACAGGCTCATTTACAATATGGAAGCCACATGTTTGACTTCGTTCCATTTATTCCATTCCAGCCATTACAATGAGCCGGTCCTCCTATAGCTCCTCACACCAGCCTCCACTGGTGTGTATGTTTATAGTAAAAATACACAAATCCGTCACAACCTTTGTAGGACACTGTACTACACACATTATCTGTGGAGGATCACTCATACTAGACTTTGGGGCGTGTCTTCACAGGAGATGCCCAGCCAATGGACGTGTGCTCGGTCCATCACAACAACACATTCCTGAGGTACTCTGTGTCCCTGCTTGGGTACGGTTTCTATGGCGACGTGCTGGCAGACAGCGAGAGGAAACGATGGATGGGACCAGCCAGATACGACTTTTCAGGTAGGTCAGAAGAGTAGCTTTAACACTTAGGAAACATCACTTTGATACTGTTGCGGTAGACTGTTGCCATTGGTTGCTAATGATATTGTATGCTATTGTTTGTGCAGGTTTTAAGACGTTTCTCACACATCACTACTATGAAGGGACTGTGTCTTTTCTACCAGCAACTGACATACTGGGAACACCACGAGACAAGACCAGGTGTAGAGCTGGGTATGTACAACTGGACAAATGCAACCTGTCCAATAATATCCACAACCAATTGTGTAGTTTAGTATTATACCCATGTTTGTCTATGTAAATATCATCTAGATGGTGCAAAGCAAATTGCTCATTTGGCTAGCCAACTCCATTCTCCCCTGTCCTCACTCCATCCCTGATTTCCAGGTGCTTCATATGCCAACACAACGGACAGCTGTATTCCGAGGACGCCCCAGAGATTTGCAAGACTGATCCAGATGTCTCAGACAGTGGTAAGTATTTCTGGCTGAACACCAATTAACCTCAAGCCCACACACCATGGGTCTCTACAAAAACCTACACTATGCATTTACCTCAAAGCACCAACCTCTATTTCTGCTCTATCCCAGAATACGAAGGGGGATGGCGGGTGATCAGAGGGAAATTCCTGGCCATCAACGCGGCCAGTATGAGCTGTGCCTGTCCCCGTAGCCCCAAGGGCCTGTCCCCCGCCGCCCACCTCGCTGACGGCACCACCGACCTCATCCTCGTGCGCAAGTGCTCCCGATTCAACTTCCTGCGCCACCTGCTACGCCACACCAGCAAATACGACCAGGTAACCACACTGGATGGGGCTATTGCAATGATGTCATGTTTTTTATGGCTACTCCAACCCGGGTCCATAGGAGTGTTTGCATGAGATGGTTAACACTTCAATTCCCTGTATCAGGGAGTTCACTCTCTCACTTCTGTCTCTTTCCCCTTCAGTTTGACATGACCTTCTCTCTTTCCCCTTCAGTTTGACATGACCTTCTGTCTCTTTCCCCTTCAGTTTGACATTACCTTCTGTCTCTTTCCCCTTCAGTTTGACATGACCTTCTGTCTCTTTCCCCTTCAGTTTGACGTGACCTTCTGTCTCTTTCCCCTTCAGTTTGACGTGATCTTCTGTCTCTTTCCCCTTCAGTTTGACGTGACCTTCTGTCTCTTTCCCCTTCAGTTTGACATTACCTTCTGTCTCTTTCCCCTTCAGTTTGACATGACCTTTGTAGAAGTGCACCGTGTGCGGCGTTTCCACTTCACGCCGCGCCACTGCCAGAGCGACTCAGAGCTGGACCTGAGGGAGAACGGCAAGCGGCTTTTCAGCCAGATCTGCCGAGACCACCCGGCCTGCAGCTGCAGCCCTGCCTACAGCAGCTGGAACTGTGACGGCGAGATCCTCCCCCATGCAGCCATTGAAGTTGGGTACGTCACCACTCCCTATAACCTGCTGTGCAAATATACAATGCATTTAAAAAGTATTCAGACCCCTTCTTTTTTTCCACATTTTGTTACGTTACAGCCTTATTCTAAAATGGATTAAATTAATAAAAATCCTCATCAATCGACACACAATACCCCATAATGACAAAGCGAAAACAGGTTAAGTAAAAAACAGAAATACCTTATTTACATAAGTATTCAGACCCTTTGCTATGAGACTCGAAATTGAGCTCAGGTGCATCCTGTTTCCATTGATCATCCTTGAGATGTTTCTACAACTTGATTGGAGTCCACCTGTGGTAAATTCAATTGACTGGACATGATTTGGAAAGGCAGACACCTGTCTATATAAGGTCCCACAGTTGACATTGCATGTCAGAGCAAAAACCAAGCCATGAGGTCGAAGGAATTGTCCGTAGAGCTCAGAGACAGTATTGTGTTGAGGCACAGATCTGGGGAAGGGTACCAAAACATGTCTGCATCATTGATGGTCCCCAAGAACACAGTGGCCTCCATCATTCTTAAATGGAAGAAGTTTGGAACCACCAGGACTCAGCCAAACCACCAAGACCCGCCTGGCCAAACTGAGTAATCGGGGGAGAAGGGCCTTGGTCAGGGAGGTGACCAAGAACCCGATGGTCACACTGACAGAGCTCCAGAGTTCCTCTGTGGAGATGGGAGAACCTTCCAGAAGGACAACCATCTCTGCAGCACTCCACCAATCAGGCCTTTATGGTAGAGTGGCCAGACGGAAGTCACTCGTCAGTAAAAAGCACATGACAGCACGCTTGGAGTTTGTCAAAAGGCACCTAAAGACTCTCAGACCATGAGAAAAAGATTCTCTGGTCTGATGAAACCAAGATTGAACTATTTGGCCTGAATGCCAAGCGTCACGTCTGGAGGAAACCTGGCACCATCCCTACGGTGAAGCAAGGTGGTGGCAGCATCATATTGTGGGGATTTCTTTCAGCAGCAGGGACTGGGAGACTAGTCAGGATCGAGGGAAAGATGAACGGAGCAAAGTACAGAGAGATCCTTGATGAAAACCTGCTCCAGAGCGCTCAGGACCTCAGACTGTGGCGAAGGTTCACCTTCCAACAGGACAATGACCCTAAGCATGCAGCCAATACAACGCAGGAGTGGCTTCGGGACAAGTCTCTGCATGTCCTTGAGTGGCCCAGCCAGAGCCCGGACTTGAACCCGATCGAACATCTCTAGAGAGACCTGAAAATAGTTGTGCAGCGATGCTCCCCATCCAACCTGACATAGCTTGAGAGGATCTGCAGAGAAGAATGGGAGAAACTACCCAAATACAGGTGTGCCAAGCTTTGAGGCTGTAATCGCTGCCAAAGGTGCTTCAACAAAGTACTGAGTAAAGGGTCTGAATACTTATGTAAATTTGATATTTCAGTTTTTATTTGGTTTATTTTAGAAGAAAAAAACTGTTTTTGCTTTGTCACTATGGGGTGCTGTGTGTAGATTGAGTGGGAAAAAACGATTTAATCAATTTTAGAATAAGGCTGTAGCGTAACAAAATGTGGAAAAAGTGAAGGGGTCTGAATACTTTCCGAATGCACTGTAACCCACTTCTGAAAGCGCAGTGCAAAAAATCAACATTTTGATTTCTTGCCTTTGTTTTAAGCAAACAATCTCTTTTTTGTCTTCTGCTCTTACAGAGTGCACTGCCAGTTGATCAAGCTGTTTGCGCGAGGGATCGAAGAGCAGCCTGTGTTTGAGGACCTTGCCAACCCGTGTGCAATATAGATCCCCCTCTGCTGCCCTACCTTATCAAAGTCACTGGAACAGTCCTACTGCATTTTTAAAAAAGGATGTCGCCCTGTGCACTACCTTTTTCTGATGTACTTTTAGGTGTTTCAGACATTTGTTACCTGGAGCCATTTTTGTTTTTCCGCCACATTTTAGAGTTCACAAGTTCACAGTTCAAAGAGTGCTGGTGCTGGTACACTTACAGAGAGGTTCACTATCCACATCCACTATACTGAAGAAGAAATCATGAAAATACTAAACATTATTGAATGTAGCCTTTCCCCCTTTTCGACTCTCCTTTTGCAATAGAGCGATGTTAACCTAGCACTTAACATGCTGCTCAACATTTGTAGAACTCCTCTTTGCACGTGTTACAGTGTATGATGCTCCAAATTATGAATAACTGTTACAACATTTTGTTTATTTATGCATTTGGAGAAAACATTTAATTAGAGGATGTTTGAATTTTACTAGCTGCTTGCACTTTTGTTTCAAATAGGCCCTATGCATTTTGACCTTTTAAGTAATGCGTTGTTGGAAGTTATTTCCCTGCACCTAAAAAGCATGAATTTGAATACATTTGTATGGATGATCGGATATTGGGTGAACCAGAGAACTCTCTAGGGCAGTGTTTCCCAACTCCAGTCCTCAAGTGCCCCCAACAGTACATATTTTTGTTGTGGCCCCGAACAAGCACAACTGATTATACTTGTCAACTAATCATCAAGCCCTTGACAAGTTGAACCAGGGGCCTCATTTATCAACCGTGCATGCATTTCTTACTTAGTTCTGGCGTACGTGGAGATTCTAGGATTTGCGTGCACAACAAATTTATCAAACTGTCGCACGCAACATATACGCATGTTTTCATGCTTTAATCAGAGCCATACTATATTTGTGGGCTTGTGAACGAGCACTACAACCCGACCTGGAAAACACCCTCCATTCACCTTTTATGGTAACAACAATGCCCTCATTTGCTGTATGATTTTGAGATGTTGGAGCTGGGCCATGATCGTTTCTAAAATAAATCGCAATAGCAAATTCTATCACATTTCAATCTTTTGCAGTGACATATGCCACCTATAGCGAGTGCAAACACTGTCCGCGCGTACTGCAAGATTGATTGTCCATTCAAAGAATTTACAAGTAAATGCTACAGCCCACACTTCTATGCAAAATACTAATTGTTGTTCAATATTCTGTTAATCAATAGATGATTGTGTTTCTATCTCTTGCCTTGGTATAGGCTCTGAGATTAATAGGCTATTATGTCTCACTCCTATCGCACATTAATACTGTAGCCTACCCATACTGTCATATACCTATTTACTTTCGAGCATGGTTGGTTATTGAATAAGTGATGGATAAATGGTAGCCTAATATTTGTTGCGTAGCGGGAATAAACCAGTCGTCAGAAAAGGAGAGATGTCCTGCAATATGATTTAGGTCTATATAAGTAAAATGAATATATTAGGCAACATGCTGCTATGCGATCTTCTTACCAACGGCAAATGCATCTGTTTTATCATTAGACCAACGTTTTAATGTTTTTGTTATCCTAACATTCTTATAATTCCTGTGCATCAAACACCTCCATTTCCCCCAAAATAACATAATTTGCTTGCAATACCACTAGATCAACCACTAGAAGTTGTATGGTTTGAGATTTGCGTGGAGCTATGCACGCTTTCCCATCAAGTTCAAAATTGGTAAATACCAATCTTTGCGGGAAAACTGCTGCATGCAAGGTTTAGTCTTTTTTGTGCGCACGCACATTGATAAATGAGGCCCCAGTTGTTTTTGTCTGGGGCTACAACAAAAATGTGTGCTGTTGGGGGTTCTCGAGGACAGGAGTTGGGAAACACTGCTCCAGGGGTACCAGATACCATCCAGACTCTCACCTTAAAGGAGAAGTTAGCTTTTTTACAAACATAATCTGTATTTTGTATGTAAATGGAATGTTCTACAAGGGTCCAGACACTTTTTTGCGATTTCACGTGTTTGTGAGAAAGTTACCCCAAACAGCGATTCACTTCCTCATCCTTGTTTTGCAATACGGGGGCTCTGAAAAAACATGAGCAAATGCTCCAAAAACACCCAAATACGTGATTTTTTAAACGGAAATGCTCTCAGTATAGTAATGCAGGTCTTTAGATGTTGTACACATGTAATTGTGTCATTCCGATCTTTTCCGCAACGCTATATTCCTTTTTGTGCGACTCGAGTTTCCCCCATCCAGCTGTTCCATTCTCCATGTAGCCTGCTGCTAGAATGGACGGAGAGGTATCACTCCAGTCGCAACAAAATGGAATATAACGTTGCGGATAAAGTTCAGAATGACACAATTTCATGTGTACAATATTGGAATTTGGCTTCTAGGTACCCTCACTAAGGCCAGAGGTCACCGTAAAGCAGGTCTTAGTAACTGTTATCTGGGCCCTTGAGCCATAAAATTGGCCATGGGTGTCCTTAAGCGATTTAAGATGTTTCAAATGTATATAGTCTATTCAACCCCAAGGTCTCAGACTTGATTTAATGCTTTGGCACCAGGCATGGAAGGATGAAACAGCGAACAGATAAGGCAAGAGTATTTGGGTCTGCCCTCCCCTCTGGTGGTAGATTTGCTGTGAATCTCTTAGAAGAACGTGTCCGTCTCTTCATATCCATATGTCTCTCTATTAAACCTTTAAATATAGAAGTTGTTTGCCTCATCTTTTGCATCCAGCATTTATCCACACCTTGAACAGTTTTCAATTCCTAACAACATCTAAAGACCTGCATCACTATACTGGGAGCTTTTCAGTTTCTAAAAGGACATATTTGGGTGTTTTTTAAGCATTTGTTCATGTTTTTTCAGAGCCCCCGTACTGCACAACAAGGATGAGGAATTGAATCGCTGGTTGGGGTAAAAAATTGAGACAAAAAAAAACTACATTCTCCTTTAATGTGACATTGAAACAAACCATCACCAAATCTAATGGTACACAAAATGTCCAGATTGGCTAGATTCACATGGGATGTTGAAAACTCAACAATGTAGCGCATCAACACTGTTTATGCACTAAAACGTGTGACTTGGTAGCATGAAAAAAGTAGCAATAGGCACATTTTACCAAGCTATCTCTGCCATTTGCTGCAATGTCATTCCAGGTTGAGGTTAAAGGCAAATTCCACCCAAAAACTATCTTTTGGCATTTGTTTCATTAGTCCATTGTTGATATAGTACCAAATGTTTTGCATGTCAGCAATCAAGTTTTCAAGATGTATAACTTTCAAAATACAGAAATACAGCCAGTATGATGCATTTTGCATCAAATCATGCTGCGTTTTGCATCATAACGGCTGTATTTCTGTATTTTGAAAGTTATATATCATAACTTGATTGCTGACATGCAAAATATTTTGGGACTATATCAAACAATGGACTACTGAAACAAATACTAAAAGATCATTTTTGGGTGGAGTTTTCCTTCAAGAGTGTGGGCCAGTAACCAAAAAGGTCGCTGGTTCGAATCCCCGAGCAGACTAGTTGAAAAATCTGGATGAGAGCGTCTGCTAAAATGACAAAAAATGGAAAAGCTATCAGAAAACAGTTATGTGTGTGTGCGCTTGGTGCCCTGCATATCATATAATCCCCTGCTGCACATACTATGCTGGGTGTCATTTCCCTCCACACTGTCACGCTGGTCTTGCTGCTCCGTTCATGGAAAATTGTAGCAGTTCATGGTGCTGAACATGAATATGCTGTGACAACAGTGAATAGCAAACGGCTGTTGTTTTTCCCCCATCTGACCAAAATACGAGTCTCTGCTGTATGCTACGGTGATGTAGCTTGGTTTAGACTCATTGTGCAGTGATTTTGACTAAAACATCCGTTATACTCCCTTTTGCCATTGACTTAACATCGCAGTTAGTAGTAGAGCCCACATAGCATCCCCATTGTCTGACTGAAAGTAAAATATTGTGATGCTGATCTGAGACGTGTCTTGAACAATAGAAGATTAGCTTTTGAAGAACTCTACTCTTCCTTGATTTTGGAAGGATAGAATTACAAGCCATCTGTATTCTAATCTAAGGACATGTTACTTCTGCTGTGCCACATAGAAACATATTTAAGTATATGTTTATGTAACAATGTAGCTGCTGTAAAACTGAATCAAAGACTGAGTACATTGTAGCATACTCTTTTAGAATTCTCCCTTGAAGTGTGGTTAGAGTTGTTTGTTTCAGAAGCTGTGTCACTAAAGCTGGTCGGTTCATCACTGTCATATTCTTGAGCCATTTCTCAGTATGACTTTATCTAGTGTGAAATAACATTGTTTGAACAGTTTTGACATGGCATCCGTGCAAAAATTCAGGCTGCGTTCTGTCAGATTGTGCATGTTTGTCAAGGGACTAAGAGACATCCTGATTTGTCATTTCAAAAGCAAATGACACCATCACTCCAATCCCCAATCCACTGTCTCCCTCTGTGTATTCCTCAAAGACACAGCTTTGTTAAAGTTTGTTCATTGTCTAGTTTTCCCTCAAATCCAGTCTCAGAATGGTCTTATTCATGCAGCTGAGATAAAGGATAATCCTTAAACATTCAGTTTGTCTAACGGTAGTTTGAGATTTTCATGAGATCCTTGAGGATGGGGGTACAAAGTGTAGTAGTGTACATTGTCAGCCTCTTGAATTACATTTTCTATGAGGAGAGGTACAGTAGAACAATTGTGCAAGAATAATTCCTAACATGCTAGTTTTTCAATTCATTTCCTGAATTGAAAAGGAGTAGTATGGAATATGCTGTAGTTTGAGTGCTGGTTGTAAGGTTGAGTGATATTTTTTATGGGTAGATGGCCTTATCCACTAGGTTAAAGTGATGTGAAAAGATTTGCCCCTAGTTAGCTATATGTCATGTTTGAGTGGGACCTCTTTTTCACTCACTCTAAATTATCTGGGTGTGCATAAGTAGGACATTGCTGCAGATTGAGATGCAGTCACACGTC